TCTTGAACAGAAGCGATGAACCTGCGAGGTGCCCATAGAAGAGTGTCGGCTGTGCAGAGCCATTCACACGTAGAATAAAAGTACAACAAGGGATGGAGGAGGTGAGTGCCCCCCCCCCCCCCCCCCCCTCCCCCCTCAGGCGGTCGACGCCTCCATACGCGCCGGGCTGTGGGGCCTCGCGCTCCTGATAGCCTCCCAGTGCCCCGCGCCGGCGGTAGAGGCAGGCACGCCGAAGAAGGGCGACGGAGGAGGAGAGGACGCCGCCGCTCCCCCGCCGCCCCCGCCGCAGCCGCAGTACCAGCGCGTGGTCCGTCTCTACGCCAACGCCTTCCTGCACACGGGAACCCCGCTGCACACCATGGCCCTGGCGTTCTCCGGGCAGGCCGGGGCGGCGATCAAGCACGGGGGTAAGAGCTTGGCGGGCGGCGGCGGCGGCGGCGGGGGCAGCGGCGATGCGGATCGAGGTAGCGGCGGTGGTGGTGGGTTCGAGGAGAGCTGGATGGTCACCGCCGCGGCTATCGTCAGCAACAAGGTGTGATCTTGTCGCGGTCGGGCGTGTTTTTTGTTTCGGATGGTGTGTACAGGGAAGGATGCGGATTGTGTACCATGGTACGTGCCTGGCCTTGGCGTAGGTGCTGGCGGTATACCGGGAGTAAAGAGAGCAGGTCGTCGCCAACCGCAAGCTAAGCGGCATGACCGAATGCCTGGTCACGTTTCTCACAGGGATGCCGCGGAAGGCTTGACCTCCCCGAGAACCAAAAAATCCCACAATCCCAGAATCTTCATGACAGATCATTTTGTAGAAACCAGGATATAGGTACCTTCCTAGTGGTAGTGACGCACGTACAACCAGTATAGATCCGAAGCCCTACGAACGATGTTCTCGGGGTCTGAAGATATTTACATGAAGAAAGATTATCCGCCTGCTGTGACCAGCCGGAGGATGAAAGCGTGCCCCTGAGGCTCACTCTCACCGTCGACCTATCTGAAAATTAGCACGGACGACCAACGTCGGCCACGCTTGGCAGCAATTCCTCGCCACATTGAAATAAGAGCGAAATACCTCCACTGTTGAACGGTTAATCACCACTTCAGGGACCCTTACTCGGTACGTAACAGAGAAAGGGTATTCTCATTTTTTTTTTTGACGAACACACAACAAAATCGATCTCTTCCACAGATACAGTAAGAAAAAGCATTTTTTTCCCTTTGGTCTCAAATGTTAAGAATGTTTCCCCGCTGAATGGCGTCGCCACGGATGATTTATATGTCACGAAGGTGGCCGGCTGGATCGAACAGCTTACGGGTCTTGGAGACCGGCTATTCGAGTCCGACAACGTCGCGGCGGCTCACGCGATGTTCCTCGTGGCCGGCATGCAAGTGGACCTTCCCACCACCAAGGGCGCCAGACTCATCCTGCCGGGGGTGGATCACCGCAAGCCGGCACACAGGTACTGCTGTTCCTGCTGCTAATGCTGCTGTTATATGCTTTTGGTGTGGTGGAGTTGACGCGATCTTTTCGGCGTCGACCAAAGTATTATAATCCACCGGAGTTGATCACCGGAAGCCTGCACATAGGTGCTGTTCCTGCTGCTGCTGCTGCTGCTACTGCTATTCATGTGGTGGAGTTTACGACCCTTCTCGCCTCGACCAAAGTATCAAAATCAACCAAAGCTTGCCGCGGGCTCTGATGCGCGTCTTGCTGCGTCCGTGTGTGTGCCGTCGAAACTTCGCAGGTCGTTGCGTACGGCGGAGGCTACTGATGCAGTGCACATCCTCGAGGTGCTGGAGGTGGCGTCCAAGTCTGGCGGACGCTCGCAGAACAGCGCTGTCCAGGTGCGTGAGTCCCGCCCTTGACACTGGTGGTTGGGATCCGAGCTGTCGTGTTCTTTGAGGCGCTTTTTTTCTCTGTGCCCCCGCCGGCCGCCGCCCTCCATCAATGGTTTCGAGATTTGGCCATGTGTCTTCGAAAGTCCTTCGTTGATTTCCCCCTCTCTCTCTCTCTCTCTTATCTCTCTCTCTCTCTATTCTCTGGTATGTCCACTTGGTGTTTTTGTGTTCGTGTACATCTCCACATCTCCACTCCCTTCTTCCTCACGACGTTCTGTGTCCACGTGATTTATACCACCCACTTACGCTGACACCCCCTTACAGGGACACAAGCTGCGGTTGGCGATGAGACTGGCCGATCTGGGTTTCCTCCAAAAGGCGTACGACTATGCCCGCAGCGCCCAAGCAGAGGTGAGAAAACACAGACGAAAACAAACAACGCGGTCTCTCTGTCAACGTCACAGCAGGCGGTTGTCTTCGTGTGCCCTCTATAGAGTTGCGTCGAGTAGACTGGTGATCTCGTTTCTGTTCCGGTCCTGGTCTTTGGAATATTCAATAAATCGTTACGCCACGAATGCTGACTACAATGTATGCATACCACTCATCGCGTATCTTGGAATCGATCTATTGGGCGGGGCGGCGAAAGCCGCCAGACCCCTTATACACTTACGCACTGTCCTTCACCTGCCCTGCTGGTCGTTCATCGGGGCTTGGAGGGCTGCTGCGGTCTACTCGAAGCAGAGGGCACCCGAAGACAACCGTTAAGCTGCTTCAACGGGTGATGCTCCTCTTGCGTCGTGTCTCGAACGACCAGAACGGGAACAGAAACGAGAGC